AAGCTCACCGAAAAACAAGCACATGCGGAGAAAAGCTCACCGGGCCCTGAGCCGAGGTGGAGAGAAGCTCACCGAATGTTTTATTATTTTCATAGAGAAGCTGTTAGATGGTGTTTCTCATTTCATGTCATGTCATGTCATGTTTTAAAAAACTTAGGAACGAATTGACATCTGAGCTTAGGAAAGCAAAATCATCATATTACAAGCAAAAGTTTCATGAGGCTACTAAACAACGACCTGACGTCGTGTGGAAAATTATTAATGAAGTTTTAAATCGTAGAAAGGTTTCCCACTCTATTGGCGAATTAACTATAGACGGTCATAACATGTCAGGTGCACGTTTGGCGGAACAGTTTAATGCTAACTATTCAAATGCACTACCTACTGCACAGGGAAACGGAAATAATGAAAATGTCCTTTCTTCTGTGAAACATACTGATGATACGTTTTTTCTCAATCCTACTGACGAAGTAGAGGTGTATAACATCTTTCTAGGACTAAAAAACAGCAAAAGTATTGACATTGATAAATTACAAATAAAGCCAGTTAAATTTGTAATGGATATAATTGCCCCACACTTAGCATACATATACAACTTATCATTATCATCTGGTCAGTTTCCCGCAAAAATGAAGTTGGCTAAAGTCACTGTTGTGCATAAAGGAGGCGATAAGCATGTAATGAATAACTATAGGCCAATATCTGTGTTACCTGTCTTCTCTAAGGTACTCGAAAAGATTATTCTTACGCGCCTCGATCACTTTTTTTGTAAACATTCTATATTAACAGACTATCAATTCGGCTTTCGCAAAGGCAAATCTACGGAAGCCGCCTTGTTATATCAAAAAGAAATTATATTGCGAAATATAGAAAAAAGGCTGATTACTTTAGGTGTGTTCATTGATTTTAGTAAAGCGTTTGATGTCCTAAATCATACAGTACTACTTATGAAACTTAGTCGATATCGCGTCCGCGGTGTACCACTTGCCTTGCTTCACTCGTATCTAACAAATAGGAAACAGTGTGTAGCTATTGACGGTTTTTTCTCTTCTTTCCAAAGTGTTCTTTGTGGTGTACCGCAGGGAAGTATACTTGGACCTTTTCTATTTAACGTCTACATCAATGACCTAGTAAACATCGATAACCAAGTGCAATTTGTTATATATGCGGACGATACGAGTATGTTTTTCTCTGCGGCTGATGCTGATACACTGTTATGCCAAGCCAATTCTACTCTTACCAAATTTGCATTGTGGTCTGATACTAACGGCCTTAAGGTAAATACAATGAAGTCTAAAGCAATCTTATTTAGATAAAAAAATAAGCCCATTTCAATAAATTACACTCTCATACTAGGTACGTCGTCAATCGAAATAGTCAGCCAGCATAAAACTTTAGGTGTATTTTTTTCAGAGAATATGACGTGGGATTGTCATGTAAATTATTTAACAGCTAAACTTTCTCGGATCGTTGGTATTGTTTCTCGTTGTCGCAATGTTTTACCACTCAACATTAAACTTAAAATTTATTATGCATTATTTCAATCCCACTTGAGTTATTGTCACCTTGTATGGGCTACTACAACAAAAACAAACCTTAAAAACATACTATTACTGCAAAAGAAAATAATACGATATATTGCTGATGTTTCCTACACAGACCACACAGAACCTTTATTTTTAAAATATCGAATAATTCCGGTTGAACGCATGTATGAGTATCGTTTGCTTTGTTCCATTCGTTTCTCCTCCACACACTTCATCGATTTCTTATTCACTATTTCTGAGCTTGTAAGGCATAGCAGTGATGTCAACATACGCCGCAGAGAAGCATGGGTCCTCCCTTGTTCCCGCACGAACTACAACTTTCAAACTTTACATTACAACCTACCTCTCGTTTTAAATAAATGCCTCACAAACAACATAAACATATACACGATTAGCAAACGAGACTTGCGCTCTTATATCTTCGTTGTTCCTTAATTTAGTGTTATAATGTTTACAAAGTTCCGATTTTTTTTATTTTTTTTTAATTTTTTTTTGTATGTTACGCTAGGAGAGTGTTGCGCACTACCAAGCTGCTGCCATGTAATAAGGGTCCCAGACCCAGTCAAGCTGTCTCAACAGCTTTTTGTCTGGGACTCCTTCCAGTGTTTCTGGAAAATAAAGCTTTGATTTGATTTTGATTTGATTTCGTTTTCACTAGTATTAGAGTTCGTCAGTTCAGTAGAGAAAAATAACATGTTTATGTAATATTTATCAAATTTATCATACATATTTCTTGCAACTGAGGAATCCATCAATTTGTCTAAGAATAACGCCGCAAGTAAAAAAAAATGGGACACCTGTAAAGAGGACAACAATTTATTGATAGCGTCACTTTTACCTAAGTCAACATTTTGGCTCAAAAACGAATGAACTACCCAACTGCTTCGAGGAGCACGGGGAGCTGCTTGTGCTGCAAATAACCCGTGCAGAGGTGGTGTAGTCGGCTTTGCAGTCGGGTGGTCTCCCTTGTCTTCTTAGCAGGCGGCTCTCCTCGACTGACCTGCAACAAGGCTGTACCGGCGACCGCTTGGTCTTGTTGCAGGCACTCGATGAGCATCCAAACACTCGGATGAGAATGCCCACGAGGTGTTCAAAGGCGTTTTTCCACCCCTCGCAGGAGTTGTTGGTGCGGTCCTCCCCTCGCAGCGTTGCTTCCATGACGTTCCAGAACTCCGGAGGAAACTCGGGGCGTCGGCGGCGCACGGTGATTGCCAGTCGTCCATCTGCTCCCGCTCTTGAAACAGTGCGAAACGTTCCGCTCACGTGTGTGGAGTCAAACTGCACGAGTATTTCGGCCATGTCGTCGGGTGCCATGTCACGAATGTGCTGAAGTCCGGATGGTACAAGGTCGGGAGGCACAAAGTCAAGGCCGTCTAGCATCCCGCAAGCCTTCCGGAAGGCGTCCTCGGTCCGGTACCTGTTGATCAGACTCAGCTCACGTACCTGTAGCGAACAGAAATTGAAAATTAGCAAACACCTCTGCATACACATTAATGTGAGCAGCGAGGGGTAACATCACACTTGAAACGCTACAATACACTTTTATTGGTAAATTAACGTTGCGCATCCGCACCCTAATAACTCTCCTTGCCTATCGTATTTCACATTATCCCAATTAGCCTTCAATAATATGATATTAAATATATTTTGTTATAAAGTATTATACAGAAATCATTGTTTACTGGAAGCTGTATGACCGCACATTACCTTGCGATGGGTACTCTGGCTGAGATGAAAGAAACACCCCCTGGATGCAAAGTCTGGTCCGAAGACTTCCCTCGCTGCCCGGATCGCAGCCATCTCGTAATCACTCACGATGACGCTGGGGACTGGAAGGTAACCTCTTGCTTTGCATGCGTCAAGGACGGCCCGAAAAAGCTCTTCATAGATCGCGAGGCTCTTGCCAGCAAGGAGAGCGTAGACGCAGGCGACGGAGCTTTCCCCGACTGCGCACCTGAGCACGTAGAATTGTTTAAACAGCTGGGGGCAAACTGAAAACTTCCCGCCCATGTACCAGGTTGGGCTCGTGCTCAAGGCTCTGAGCTGCTAGCTGCTGGCGAAGACGAGCATCCGGTCCCGCCGCTCCGATCCGTTGCCATAAATGAGGAACGGTTGTGGCACTTCTCCTCAGGTCGTTGCCCAGATGTCCTCCGACCTCGAGCTTAGCGGTGGATTTTGGTTCCGCTGGGCGCAGCCGGCTTCTTTGCTGGCGGAAGTCGCGACGCACAGTCTCCAGGCTTCCAATATTTGCCCGCACAGCAGCTGACGAACTGCATAACGCCAGGGCCAAGAGCTTGCTTGGTGGTTCCAACTTTTCTTGTGCTTTTCTTTTCAGGTCCATTCTTATCTTCGTCACCTTAACGCCGTCAAAGTCACTGGCATGGTTGTGGTCCGTCACTGACCAAAAGCGAGTGATCTGCAATGCCAAAAAAGGAAGATCGCCTGGCTAGACGCTGCTTACTTAGAAAACACCAGGGCAGTTTAAAATTGTATAATTCAACAAGTTCTTACTTTTTCATCGAAAACTATCAACTTGGAAATTATATTCCTTTGCTCATATTGAAAAAAAAAGATAATGTCGGATAACAGTAAAAAACGTTTCAGGTTGGAAATTGAAAATACGCACGTGAAGAAAAAATTGTAAAATGGCCTGTAAGCATTACGGAGGAACGGATAGACAGAAGTGATATTTTGGGACAGGGGCACTCTTCGTCAGTTCTTTATCCTTTTTCTATCTACAATTTTACCTCTCTCCATCTCTTTGTTGAAACGTACGTGCGGTGCATATTCGTTCTTCAGAGGATATATTTTTGCCAATAGGCAGCATTAATTATTTTGAAAAGTAAAGAATCAATGAATGAATAAAATATTAGAGTCTTAGCACACCCACAAACTCATCTTTACCCCAAATAAATGTCAAACTCCTATATTCTGGTCAACAGTGTGAATAAAACTACAGATCTGATAATAGCATGCAGCAGAAACATAAAAATATGCCCCAGCCCGCAGCGATTTTCTGCTGTCAAAACAAGGACTTTTATACTCACAGCATGGTCCGTAGTTATTGCTCCCTTGCACACGCCTGTCCGCTGCTTACGGCACTGCCACCGGATCCACCCGTTTTTTAACTGCTTTTGCACGTAGTCGTAACCGTCAAGCAAAACTTTCGCCTTACCCTTGTTCGAACGAATTACCTCCATGATGGACAGTCAACCAAATGGCCAAGGAACTTGCCGCTATAAATGAAAATCAAAAACGAGCGGAAGAAAAATTCACGGAAATTAACAAGAAGTTAGGGAGCTTCGAAGCTAAGTTGTCGACCCTAGAAGCGACAGTAAAACATTTTTCTGACAATGAGGGGGGCTCGCAGCGGGCTCGCGCCGCTGCCAGCTGTGCTCAGCTGGCAGCGGTAGGAACGGCCTTTTATCGTTTATCGGCTCCGGCCAACTGCAGTTTATTTGTTACGAAAGTGTGCGGTACGGTACGAGGAACCAGCCGATACCAACATCGCGCAAGTGGTATGTGAATTTTCGCCTCTTTTGGGACTTCGAAAATTCGAGGCGAGCAAGCGTTGCTAGGCCTTAGGCTTAGCGCACGAGTACGGCCACCGGGGCGATCGCCCCCGGTGTTAGGCCTACCCGACGAGTACGAATAAGATGGCGTCGCCACCGACGATGGAGGTGTGCGAGAGCCCGGCAACCAAAGGCCTGCAGGCAACGATAGTCGGCAACGATGAAGGGAAGATGTACGTTCAAGTAGGAGGCCGCGACGCGACACCCGGCGAGTCGAGCGGATGGACCACGACGAGTAGAAGAATGCGCAAGGCCAAGGAGCTGCAAGGTGAGAGACCATCTTTAACCGCGGAACGGCAGTCGAGACCCAAGGAGAGAGTTAACTTTGTCAAGCGAGTTACCGAGAATATCAAGAAAGCAGCCCGTATGCCGGCGGCTATCCCCAGAGACGACCATAAGATCGTGATTAGGCCCAGGGGCGGCCTGAACGTAGCTCGAATCGAGACGCCGGTCGTCACGGACGCCATTATGGCGGCCGCGGGGACGGCGAAAGAATACCAGGGCGAAGACATGGTGTGCATCAATGCGGCGCAGAACATCTTAGTCGTGAGCACGCCGAGCGAGCAGAGAGCCGAAATTTACACTAAGATCAGGACCGTCGAATTCGGCAACATGGAATTTGAGGTTTCCGCCTACCGAACCGCGCCCGAAGGGACGGCGAAGGGAATCATCAGAGGTATCGCAATTGACGACTCGCCCGAAGACATAAATGAGGCGGTCGTGACAAAGTATAACCCAACGGCGCTAGAGGCGCACAGGATTGGAAATTCTACAGCGGTCATCGTCCTCTTTGAAGGACAGAGAGTGCCCCGGTACGTAATATACCGAGCGGCACTGCTCAAGTGCGGGCTTTACAGGAAACATCATGAAGTGTGTAGATGTTGCGGAAAAGTCGGACACCGCATCGACGTATGTCCAACCCCGGAGACCAGAGTATGCTTCGCGTGCGGGGAGGCCAACCCCGACGCGGACCACGAGAAGGCATGCAAGCCAAGTTGCAAGCTATGTGGAGGAGCGCATCCGACGGCAGATAGAATTTGCAAGAACAAGTTCAAGGTCCCCTTCGTCGTCACGAAAAGAAAATGGGAGCGCCGAGAGGAACGTGAACAGCAACAGCTCCAGAAGACAAGACCACCAATGACGTCATCGGACTTTCCACAGCTGCCGAGCAGGGAGAAAAGCGAGTGCAGCGAAAGCCAACGGCGCACCGACAGCCACGAAAGACACAAGAGCCAGCAAAAACACCTGCCGCCGTCGCAGCAGGAAGACGGGAAGCTTAAGTGGTTGGCTGCAGTTAAGGGAAGCAAGTCGAAAGAAACGCCCCGCAGCAAGCAGCAGCCACCATGCCAACACCATAACACCGGAGAACCGCCCGTGACAAGGCGAGAAATATACGACATGATCAACGAAAACAACGAAAGGCTACTACAGAAGATGGAAGCGAAGATGGACGCAAGGATCGACAAACTACTAGAAGCAATAAGGGCGAGTCAAGCGCCACTGTCACTGCCGACCCCTCAACAGGAGCAAGAGGTGGAGCAGATACCCCGCCCATCCTCGAAGAAGAAAACCCCAGCAAAGCCACCTAAGAGGAAGGAGGAACCAGCCATCGCCGAAGAGGAGGCTACTAAAAGCAGCATCGAAAGCGACGAGGAACAGCCAAAGGAGCCCAGCAACAAAAAGAGGATTATCGAGAATACCAAAGAGAGAAAGCTCATGGCCAGGCTCGACCGCATGGACAAAGAGCGGGAACAAATTGCACATTCGATGAAGGAAAAATTCAACAAGGTAGAGATGACGCTGGGAGAAATACAAAGCGGAATGCTACAACTACAAACGCAGATGCAAACGTTCCTGCAGAGTATGGAAGCCAAGATGCAGACATTCGTGCAGAACGCCCAAACCCAGATCACCACCCAAATACAGCAATTATGAACCCAACAGCGACATCGAACGCCAAGCCAGACAAAAGGGCAGTAACAGACCAGCAGCCGGTCAGGGACCTCCTGATTTGGCAGTGGAATTGTAACGGCTATCACAATAAGAGGGCAACGCTAACACGGCACCTACAGGGAATGGAGAGGAAACCGGACGTCATTATGATTCAGGAAACACTATGCACTGACACACCCCAACTTCAAGGATACAGAGCACACGCCAAGGCGGCCAAGCCCCTAAACAAAAAAAAGAAAAAGTTTGGAATACGCAAACCAACAGGCGGGGTGTGCACATTCGTCCGCAAGGGCATCGTATTCCTCGAGCACGAGCTGACCACCGGCGGCTGGACCGATAGCAGCGCGGTGGAGGTGATCGTTGGGAAGAAGAAGAGGAAAACCAGCGTGCTCGCGGTCAATGTGTACAGCAGCCCCAGACATAGAAAGCAAAAGTTCCGCACGCTCATGCAAAGGGCACTGCGTGCGACGAAGAAAGGCACGATCGTAATAGGGGGTGACTTTAACGCACCACACTACGACTGGGGATACGATAAGACAACCGAAAAGGGGAGAGACCTATTGCAAGACGCCACGGACGCGGGGCTAACGCTAATCACGAACCCGGAGACCCCCACAAGAACGGGTACTTCGGTCGCCAGGGACACCACCCCGGACCTGACGTTCGTCGAAATAAATGGGAACGACACCGCAACGTGGAAAAACACCAAACACGACTTCGGCAGCGACCACATGGTCATAGAGATCCGGGTCCCGCTGGGGAACGGTGCAAGCCAAGAGAAACGAACACACAGATACACGAACTGGGAGGAGTTTCGGCGTCAGCTCCCAAGCCAGCATGGTAACATTGAAGATATAGAAGCGTGGTCGAAGGCGATAGTAGAAACGACCGAGGAGGGGACGACAGAGATAGAAACGGACGAAGACATACACGAAATGGACAACAGATTGGCCCACCTCATCGAGGCGAAGACTGCCCTCAAGAGAAGGTGGAACCAACAACGAACAAACAGAAGGCTCCGCAAAAAGATCGCGGAAATCAACAGGGAAATAGAGAAACACAGCAAGGAGCTCGGCCGGCAGCAGTGGGAGCAAACGTGCAGAGAGGCGGACGGCCAACTCCATCTGGGCAAGACGTGGCGACTGCTCCGGCACCTCCTCGACGACACCCAGACCAAGAGAGAACAACAGTACAAGCTCAGCAGAATTATACACAAGGCGGTAGCGGAGCACGGGGAAGCGGAGGTGAAGAGGAGACTCGACGCCAAATACCTCCCGGTTTCCCCAAAGGAAAACACCCAGAATACCAGGGGGCAGAGAACATCGAGGTTGACCAAGACATCGAGGAATGGGAGGTCCGAAATGCGATGCAAGACCTGAACAGGCGTTCGGCGTCGGGCCCGGACCGCGTCAGCAACAAAGCGCTCAGAAACTTGAACGACGCGGCCGTGACGGCACTGACGGCGTACTTCAATAAATGCTGGAGGGCCGGCAAGCTACCACGCCAGTGGAAGGAAGCCAAAACCATCCTCATTCCGAAACCAGGCAAGTCGCCCGACATCGAGAATCTACGCCCAATATCCTTAACATCGTGCGTGGGTAAACTGCTAGAGCACATCTTAATGACCAGATGGCAACAGTACCTCGAAGAGGCAGAGCTCTACCCGGATTCTCTCGTCGGCTTTCGAAGCAAGCTTGGAACGCAAGACGCCATGCTCCAACTCAAGAAGGAGATAGTAGACTACGAAACTCACACCAGCGACAACAGGGCAATACTGGGCCTGGACCTGCAGAGCGCCTTCGACAAAGTCCGGCACTCTGCGATCCTCGCCCAAGTGTCGCACCTGAACATGGGACAGAGATCTTACAATTACATTCGGGATTTCCTGACCAACCGCACGACTCACATCTGCGCCGGGGATCTCCAACTACCAGAGAAAACGCTCGGCAGCGAGGGGACACCACAAGGCGCGGTAATCTCTCCGCTGCTCTTCAACTTGGTCATGATCGAAGTCGCCAACCGGCTGCGGAGCGTCGATGGGGTACGCCACACGGTTTATGCCGACGATGTGACGCTGTGGGTCACCGGCGGCAGCGACGGCCACATAGAGAATACACTACAAGAAGCAGTAAAAACGATAGAGGACCAACTGAAGGGATCGGGGCTGGTGTGTTCCCCCGCAAAGTCGGAGCTGATGGTGACTCCACCCAGGGGAGCGAGCCGCAAGAAGCAAACTATCCGAGACTGCGATAAAATCCGCATACGAACGCAAGGGGGGCACATCATCCCCGAGGTAGCCAAGATTAGAGTGCTGGGCATGATCATTGAACGCAGCAAAGTCAACGGGGCAACGGTCTCCAAGCTCGAAGCTAAGACCGGCACGGCACTGCGTCTCATACGCCGCGTCGCCAATAGAAGAAGCGGGATGAAGGAAGCAAGGCTCGTCAGACTGATTCAAGCCTTCGTGATGAGCCATATCACCTACGTCGCCGCCTTCCATAATTGGCGGCAGTGCGAGCGGAAGAAGATCGACGCGATGATCCGCAAAGCTTACAAATCAGCATTAGGACTCCTAGGATGCACGAGCACGCAGAAGCTCGAAGCCCTGGGACTCCAGAATAGCCTGGAAGAGATCGCCGAGGCACAGCAGACGGCGCAGCTCACCAGACTGTCGGGAACCAGAACCGGCAGATCTATCCTCAAACAACTAGGCATCGGAGCCAAGGAAGACGACCACCGGATGCAGGAGCAGATACCGCGGGAGCTGGGCAAGCACATCGTCGTGAGCCCAATCCCGCGGATAATGACTCCCACATTCCATCAAGAAAGAAGAAAGGCGAGAGCCAAGGCGCTGATCGCGCTACACGCCGGCGATGAGGGAGCCGTGTTCGTGGACGCGGCCAGTTACAAGAACATCGGCGACGCCTTCAGCGTCAGCGTGATCGGAGCCAAAACGGGTGAGATCAGGATGGCGGCCAGCGTGCGGACCACTGTGCCCAGCCAGGCAGAAGAAGTGGCGGTAGCCCTCGCCATCGCGGACCCCAGAACGAAGACGGTGTTGTGCGACTCGCGAACGGCAGTGCGCAACTTTGCGAAACAGCGAGTGTGCAGTGCGGCAGCGCGCATCCTGCGAAAGGTCGAAGTCAACGGAGTCATCACCAGTGCGGTGATAAAGTGGTTTCCCGCCCACGCGGGCGCGGAAGTGGCGGGCTCGCTGGGGCTCACCAACCACAACGAGACGGCCAACTCCGTGGCGCGTGGACTCGCCGGCCGCGCCCCGGTAACGGCCGCCGCCGACGTGGTGGATCGCCCCGAGAAGGACACCATGGACGCTTACAACGAGGTAACCCTGTGGTACCGGTTAGCCAGAAGAACGATGGCCCTGCCCCACCCCCGTCTGACGCGGGAGGAGGCGGTGGTATTCCGCCCGTTACAGACTAACTCCGTGATAACCCCAGTGTTAGCAAAGCACCTGTGGCCGGAGGTATACGTAACAGACTTATGCAGACTGTGCGGGAAGGAAAGGGCCACGTTGGCCCACATCCTGGAAGACTGCGAATGCGCGAACGCGGACAACAGTGCAGACGTTCTCCCGCCCCTCATGGAGGAGGCGAAGAGATCCGAAGACTACGACGTCCAACACACGGCCGTCCAGCAGATCCTAGCGGCACTCGAGAAGCAGCGACCGGACGGGATGGAAGCAGAAAGGGTTAACCCGAGTACGCTGAAGCCCGCCGCGAGCGGCTCTCCCCGCTAAGAAGACGTCCGGCTACGTCGCCCCAAGAACCCACCTGAGAGGGTGGGATGATAGGGGTTACTGCAGGAGACCCATTAAAGTTGCTCTCTCTCTCTCTCTCTCTGACAATGAAGAACGGATCGTATCAATGAAAAGTGTAATGGCTGATTTGGTAGACAAGATTGACGATCTCGAAAATAGGAGTCGCCGAAATAATCTTGTAATTTTTGGCGTGCCTGAGACCGATGACGAGACAGCTGAATCACTTCATGGCACCGTAGTGAATCGACTGTTTTGTGATACGCTTGGTTTACCAGCTGTAACCACAGAGAGAGTGCACCACCTCGGGCGTCGAACAGATGGTAAAACTAGACTAGTCGTGGTGAAGTTTTTAAATTTTTCAGAGAAGATGTCAGTTTTGAGAAACTGCCCGAAACTGAAGGGATCGACGACCTCTATTTCAAAAGACTTTTCTTTATGTGTTCGAAATATTCGCAAACAGCTCTGGGACAGCGCTGTCGAAAATAGTAAGAAAGGCGATAAAGTTACTCTAATCTACAACAGGCTAAAAATAAATAATATCCTCTACATCTGGGACGCCAAAAACAGACACGAATAGCACTGAGTCAGCCAAAAAATTTGCGACAAATATGACAGTCCAGACGCAATGCCACTGATTCGATTAGATTCCTAAATTTGAATGCGAGGAGC